ACAGATTTATTATTGTGCAGGAATTTCTGTAAGAGAGAAGTCCAGAGAAGTCCAGACAATAAGCTTCCACATTATTTCTTAAGATGCCTGAAATCACAGTTACAGGTGCAATTTATTCCATGATTCCAATGATGTTTAGATTTGTCTTTCTGTGCGTTAGTATTTGCCGACTTAAGAACAAAAAGCAGCACTAATTCCACATTTGCTTCAGTGTTAACTGCTGCCAAACTACAGGGAGGATTTTGATTCACGTCTCTCATAGTGCCGATATTTCCAGTTATTTTTCATGCATAACTGACAAATGCAGCACTTCTAATCTGTGTTATTCAGCAGGGACAGAATGTCCTTCCCTCCACCGAGGATTCCTGATTGAAAGAGATAAGTAAAATCAAATACACCCACAAAGAATATCCAGTCTAAATATAGAGACTGGTTGTGGAGGTACAGGTACAGTTCCACAGCAGCGATCAGTTTGAAGACGGAATAAGTTTGCACCAAAGGGTTTTTTTCATGACCAGAATGCTTTTGTGATCTATCCGTAGCCTTGGGAACTGGTATGAAAATGGAGCCAAAGCGGCCTGGGGCCCGGCTAGTCCTGTCATCTCAGATGAGAACGTAACATCTGCTTTTTCTTGGTTTGGGGCTTTTAAGATATTTAGTTTCCTCTCAGCAGAAACGCCAGCGCCCACTAATAGTTTTGCATTACAAACTCACAAAGATATGTTAAAAACCAGCACCTGCTCATTGAGTTATTTAAGTGCCTGAGTCACATAAGCTAAATGAGCCTCTTTATCTGGGGTTGCAATCTGTCCAAAAACCTTTTAATGCCCCAAGCTATTCCATTAAAAACCTTAAATTAAAAATCTTTCCTATTATTTTTTTGTTGTCGAATCAATGAAAAACTAAAGCTGCATCACGAACCTCTCCGAAACCAGTAAGTATTGATATTAGAAAATGTATTTTACAGCTGTAGGGAAATTACCTCAGTGGGAGGAGGCTTACTTGCTTGCATTTTATTTTACTCAGCTTCCTCGTTGGTATAAAATCGTTAAAGGGTAAACAAACCTCAAAATGATTTGAGGGGAGTTTGGAACCTCAGAATTATTGCATCTTACGCCCCCAATCATCTGGCTGGTTGGGAAAACAATATGATTCAAAGCAAAGAAAATTCTATAACATTCAGTCTCTTTCCTCCCTTGTCTCTTTCTTCTGGGTTACAAAAGCTTCTGTCTCCAACTCTCTAGGAAGAAGTTTACTGCAGTGAAAACAGCTAAGAAAAGAATCAGACTCAGAAAACAATCAGTGAGAGACATGTGCAATGCAAGCTCTAATTAAAACACAAAGTTTAGCACAGTGAGGAAGCTGATCCGTGTCTCCTTTTGCCTCATCCACCCGTGAACAGTTCCTATCATGTGTGGGCTCATATAAAGTGGAGGCTTCCAGGGTATTGCACCATCCTTGAGTGAAATACAATAACCAATCTCAACAAATGCACTTGCAGAAAAACTTGCAGTTTAGCGTTGTAGCTTCCAGTTAGAAACAAGAGGGAAGCAAATAAAACCCGGCTCATCCCTCTCCCACGATAATCTTCGACATGATCCACTAATGCGGCCAAGAAATGGTTGTTGAAATGATGAGAACCGACTCACATACTGTATGAGAGGAACCGTGGGGAGCCAGACGCACTGCTTTTTAGAGGCAAATCTAAAAAAAAAACCTCTGTACTCAATGATTGAAAGCTTGTGATGATTCTATTTGGAGCTCTGTAATAACAGGCCCTTCTTCTGAAGATCTTCTAACTTCACAAGTAATACATTTAAAAGACAGCATGTGAAATCCCTCTTGCACAAATCAGACAGACAACACCGGAGGACCAGCAAAATATTTCCCTGCTCAGTCTTGTTTGCTCAGGCAAAGTCACTGAACGCTGGGAAACACAACAGTCTTCTTTTGATCTACAGCGCTTATTAATTCAATCTGCCTGTGTGTCTGGCGTTGAGCATAGCCCTGTTTATCCCGGTGAAGGGAAGAAAAAAAAGTGGAGCATGCTCTTTGTTTTGTTTTATATGAGCATTTTTCACCCCTGATGACAAGGCAAGCGACTGAACATCGTCTATTGTGGTGCAGCGTTCACTGACAAAGACATCAACTTGTGACTCACTCCTTTTTCCCTGATGAGTGACGAGAGCTCTTCCCCGGCTGGTGCTGTAGTGGCTTCCACCGTCGTAGCGTGTAGCCTTCACTGGCAGGCCACGTTAAACCTACATAACCTCAGAATCAGCTCTGACACAGAACGATTCAACTGCAGGTTGGGTTTAGTTCCTACCTACATGGGAAGATTATTTTGGATGGAAAATGTTTACTATTCTGTGGGATCGCGTGCATTTGTTAAGAACAGAAGGATGGATCCAGGCCATTACAATGGCAGCTTGAGGTCCCGGTGGTCCTACAGGCAGTTTACTGCTATCATCAGCTAGCTAGGTAATGAGTAAGTTAGCGCTGCGTGTGATTCAAACCAATGATGGACTGGAGACAGCGAGTGTGATTACTGGCAGTGACAGTTAAGCTGCGCCCGACTGAACTGAACCAATATTATTTAGTTTAGCTATCATTGGTGTGACCCCAATCCGCCCTTTTAATGGCCTGGATCCATAATCTCCTGTTGTTCTTAGCAAAGTCATGTGATCCCACCGGGATATTGCTGTTGGTGCAGTTTATTGCATAACAACTCAACTGTCATATCAGCTTTGGAGCTTGGCTCAGCGATTACTGACAGTGGCAAGCGAGCGGCACGCGTTCAGCAAGCTTCGATAAACTGCCGAGCTGAGCGGCACCACAGCGGCAATCCGTCGGCAGTTGATAGACGCCTCTGCCGACTCGCTTTCAGCTAACTAGTTGAAATAGTTGGCTAAAAGTAGCCTCATGAACTATGCTAACAGTAAAAGTAATGGATAAATGGTTAAAATAGCTAAAAGTAGGCAAAATGGTTGAAGTAATTAGGTAATAATAGGCTAAATTTGGAAATAGTTAGTTATTAAAAGAGATAATAAACAGTTGGAATCTTTCATCCAGATTATAATCCATTCATAAAAACATATTTAGGCGGTGTCGATGAAGAGGTACTTCTCTTCTGATATGGCTGTCGGGGGTACAGACATAATACGCCACATACCAGACAATTACAACCCACTAAAGCTCTGTTAGACTGCATGATTGGGACTATCAAAATAATATAAAGGGACAGTGTGAAATGTCAGTTTGTCCTGTACCTGCATAATTCAGTGTGTGAAATGTTAGGGTGAGTACGGCTCTGCATTTATGCTCAATAACCATGATGGTGACAGCAGAACAGAGAAAGCTGCACTTTCCTGCACGCAGCTGTGAGAACACTGCAGCCACACATTTCAGAGCTGCTCGTCCGTCCTTCTAGCGAAACCACCTACACGCCATGACTCAGTCTGTGTTTGCTATTGTTTTAAGGACAATTCAAGCATCTCAATTACTGGGCCAGTTCTCTCAGGTCGTGGAGGGTTTTTGGGATATGAATCCGACTATAGAGCTTCACGTTATATAAACCACAGAGAAAAATAACATGTTTTGCTTTTAAGAAAGGACATCCTTCCTTTCTGATTTATTTGTCATTACATTTGAACATGTCTTTATTTGCACTATGTACACGTTGCCTTCACACAAGATAGGAAAAAAAATCCCCAAAACATAAACGTATTAAAAAAAACGCAATCTTCTTTAATTCGGCTAAAGAGCACGACACAAAGAGAGCACTATCACCCTGGCATTGAGGAATGCATTGAGCAAACGTCTTTGTCGCGTGGATGTGTACATTAACTCATCACAATGAGAAGGAAATAACAGCAGTGAAACCCGCGTACTGTTGTAACACATTGCACAATACCAGGTTGCCAAAGAAGCCAGATAAAAACACATCATTTTGAATGACACGCTACATAACACAAAGCATGTTCATCGCTATCATGAAAGCAGACGCACAGAGTCTTTCAGTATAGTTACAGTGATGATGATGATCTGTGCGTACACTGACGTGGAATCAGTAGGCTCATGAGTTACCACCATGTGGTCCGGAGGGGTCAGGGGTTGTAAGGCCAAACATATACAGTGTAATGACCAGCTTTTCAGATATGCAGAAACTCAATGGAGGTAAATGATAGGGCCCCCAAACCAAAACCTGGAAACCAACCAGCATTCAGCTTCTGACTGCCTCGTTGTTTATTCACACAGGCAGCCAAAAATAAAATTCAAAAGAAAAGCTTGGAGTCTTAGCTGCAGTTTTTATTCAAGCAAAGCACACTGGAAACTTCCCCCGGTGGAGAGTGTGGGCAAAAAATCACTCTTCATTAGTACAGCAGAACCGACTTACATGGTTATTTTAAAATGTTCACAGAGCCGAGGATGCGTTAATGGATTGTTTACTTGTAGGGTTTGACAGCAACCAGCGACGCCAAAACAGGCTTATTAGTGAAATTAATGTGGTTGTGCTATTTTAGGGCTATGCTCCAGAGAGTACACATTCCTTCAGAAAAGAAAGTCAGTACAGGGAGCTAATTGTGCACCATGAATGTCAGGTATGACTAATGCAGGACCTGACGTCACCTCTTGAGGCTTGAACTAGCGTCTGCCTGGGTCTACAACACAACAACACAAACCAAAGTCACTGTAATCAATAATCCACTCATATAAAGAGAATCCGTGAACTTGTCTGCCGAGTGTCTGTCTCTCAACTTGAGTAATAATTCTTTGAAATTCTGAAGGAACAAATTGAAGTGTCTCAATGCTTTATTACTATGTTGTACCCTCCGTTTTAATTGCTGAATTGGGGAATGTGATTTTAAGCGTTGCACAAAACATGAGCCTCTTCACAGCCGGATGAATTTTAATTGAAGCTGTTTTTATTATGAACTGACAAAAACAAGTTCTACGTCCAATCAATCATGCGTAGCAGTACACTGCTGGTATAGCTAGAGTCATGCAAAGAATAATTGATTACAGATTAATTCAAAGCTGTCGGACTGCGACACTCATATGCGCAACCCTGGAGGATATGTAAGGCCTGCCTTCTAATGACATTATTTACCTGATTTATAACTTCCTTGCCCATTGTGATGGCTGATGTTTCATTTCAAACTGCCCCTCCAGATGCAACGTTTTTGAGAGACACTGCACACCCCGTTTCCCCATGAAATTCCGGACCATCTGGCCAACTCGCATACGGTGCTTTACTTCAAAGGCTATAAATGAACATTCCTTAAAGCGAGATCAATGAAGGTGCCTTTAGACAGCAGGGAACACAAAAAGACAAACATAAAAACAAAGCACATTTGCATGTACGCAGGCAAACCATATCTGGCGTGGACAGATATTGTTAGATTTAATGTCTTTGATGGACGGACACCTCCTCAGAGGTAAAACACAGGTCTGAGGCTCCATTGAGATTCTTGTTATTCATGCCAGTGCATATTGTTCACTGAGACAGAAATGGCCTCTAATCATGTTTCATCATTTTTTTTCCTCTTGGAGCTTTATTCTTCTTTGATTGAAATTATAATCAATAGTTCAGTTTTTTTGAGGTTTCTCCAAAAACGAAAGCCCTCCTTTGTCATGATTCAAGAACATGTGAGCGTGGTCATCTACTGTGTGAGGCAGGTAGCCCAGAGACAAATGGCAGCCATGGTATTTTTGAGTCGATGAGGGCAGCTCATGGTCTATTAAAGACAGTCCTGGGTGGCATACTGAGATGACAGGAGATCCACAGAGAGGCTCCAATTTTAACTGCAGCTCAAATGACGACGACATAGAGTTGGTTTGAGAGTGATGTGCATTGATTTCTAACCCTCCGCAACCTCTGCTCTTTAATAATTTCTGAAGTGAGCGGCGTTATTGTCTCAGTCCTTTCTCCTCAGTGTGTATGTCGGGGTCTTGGAAGTTAAAAACCAGCCAAAAGATGATGAAGCCAATAGGGGGTAAAGTCAATGGGATGCAAACTGGACTCCAACATGGAATGCATCCATTACTTAAACCCTCTACCTGTCTCAACAACAACAACAAAAAACTTTCTCCATTCCCAATTCCCCCTCTTCTCACCCTCCAGCTTGATCTCTCTCCAGTCAGTGTGGCTAATCTTGGCTGACTGAGGGCCTGTAGGGAGAGAGAAGCTGGAGAGAAATGAAGGCGGAGGGAAAGACTGTTCATCCCCCGAAAAACTTTTCCACGAAGTCTGCAGGAGCAATGCCGTTCCCACGAGGCGGTTGTTCTCAACCTGGGCTCCCGGGAGGTGTGTCGGAGGGAAGGTGCGGCTGCTATATGTGTCCTGGTTTAGAAAGGTAGGCAATGAGAGCTACCACCACCCCCACATACACACCGGTGCCTATAGTGATGGAGAGGGCAGCGAGGAACAAAGCACGTCTGGAGGCGATGTTGGCCATTGGGAAGTCACCTTTGTTCACTGCCTTGGTGGTCTGGGAAGGAGAAAATGCAAGAGAAGAAGAATGTCAGACACAGTTTAGAGGGGGGACCCTCAAGAGAAAGGGTGACCTATTTTTCAAAAGAACCATAATTACAGAAGTTGTCTATTATTTTGTGGTGGTCTGAGGGAAACATGCAACTGGGGGGGTGGGCCCATTGACCGAGCTGCTCAGCGTAACCCAGGAGAGCTCATCCTGCATGACGGGACTAAAAAATGGCAATTAGTGTTAAAATGTCAAGGGCCGGAGGTTCTGGTCATATCGGCTGCTGGCTCTGAATCATAAATGACATCTGAGAAAAGCAGATTTATCATAATTTGACATTAAAGGGAGAACAAAAAAAAACTGACAAAGAACTGCAGAGATTCTAATACAAAACATCTTTCACAGTCGGGCAAATCAATAACATGAAGAGTACATGTTGACAGTGCTGCTATTGTTTCGAATCTATTATGGAAGAACTTCATCAACAACGTATGCTAAAAGGTAAAAGATAAACATTGTAATTCTGAAAACAGGTCAGTAAAAAACAAGTTCTTTGTGCTCTGTTTTTTTATAAGAAAACAACCCCCATCAGCATGACCTACTTACCAAGTATTTAAGGTTATAGTGCATTTTTACAACCCACTATAGGCACACACAGATCCTCTGTGGGTTGTTGTATTAACCACTCTGCTTAAATAACAGTCGTTTTACTCCGACAGACCGCAGTATAATAACAACTGAAATATGTGAGTGCAGAGTCGGGTGACGGTTCTCACTGAGTTCGTCACTACCACTGTCCCCTTTAACGTTGTATGTCGTTTTTTGAAACCATTGCCAGAACTATTGATCACAGCAGCTTTTGAAGTTCTCTATACGATATTAAGAGCGTGGATATAGCAGCAAACAACTGTTTGCAAGGTAAAGATATGGTGAAGTAATCTACCTAAAATAAGATGTAGTGGAGTAATGAATATGCTCTCCCTCTGTGTGTGTTCTCTTCTCTGTGCTTTGTTTACGGGCTGCTCTGCTCTGCCCTCATACGACAGTTACAGCTGATAACGTCTTCCCGACCAACAGCATTGTCACGGAAGCCTAGCCCCCCCCCTCCGGTTCCCCTCCAGGCTAACTGTTAGCACCGTTATCTACAAGCTGCCGCGTCAGCCGTCTCCATGTTGAGGGCCGTCTGGAGGCCGTATGCTCTGAATTTCGAATCTAGCAACTTTTAAATAATTTGGTACGTAATAACTTAAAGGTGCCCTGTAGTAGAGTTTTTCTTGTAAACATTATTTCTAATATTTAATACAATTAAGACCATTCGATAAAGCATCAAGTCCCTGTTAATGAGTGAGACAAAGTAACGAAGCAGACCTTTTGTATTAGCCAGATAGGACACATCAGCTATGTAGCTGCTGCTTTAAGGCTTTAAGTGTTATTCCATACTGGATATGAGTACTTTGCTTGAAGATACAACAATCAATAGTGGTTTCTCTTGTATATCCTGCCCATTGTGTTTACACTGCTGCTGGTTCTGAGTGTCTTCGAGCTGTCTTACTATTTGAATGAACTTGCTTGTCAGGAGGGAAATGGGAAGAAGAGAGTTGCTGTTTTCATTCTTATAGCTGAATAGAGTAGAAGTTTGAATTGTTACAGTGGCTTTTTTTGGGACTTTGTATTTCTATCTCCAGTGTCTTCCACTCGACTGACTTCTGTTCTAGACCTATAACACAATACATTGATCACACTATTGAGCTGAATATTTGCCAGAGCACTTTAAAATGTAGCGTGTGAGTGAGCAAAATGACCTTCATTACTAATGATAAAGGAGCTGATGTGTGTGGATGTGATAAAGCAGACATCAGACCTCCAACTCTGAGGCCACGGTCATTTCTTACAAAAATCAGCTCCAAACATTTTGGAAGTGGAGCTCGACATAAAAGACAAGGTTACGTTTCTTGTTCACGGCTGAGGTTAAGAGGGATTGAGACTGCTAGTTGGACACAGTCTGCTGTGATGATGCTTTTTGTATCTGGCAGTGGTGATGAATAGAAAAATAAACCTCAAAGCAAGGCTCTACACAAATCTAAATGTAATTTTGCTCACAAGCTCTCAGACTGTGGACAGAACTGGATCAAATGAGGTTTCTTTGCAGGATGCCTAACCTTACTCATCGTCACAGAGTGAGGACTTTGGAATCGAGCCGACTGCTTTTCCTCATTGAGAGGAGCCAGCTGGTTCAGGTACCTGACCCTGTTGCTCCTTTATTTTTAGCTGTGCTCTGCATGGCAAACTGAAGGGAGAGCCTGAGGTAAATAGAGAGACTAACAGTTAGTTAATCAGGAACACACAGCTCATACACAGGCTACATGTCCAATTTCTATAAAGATGTTTTTTGTTTTCAATTTTTTTATAAATATTTAATATTAACTGATGTCTTTTCATCCGTACATTGTACCTAGAATTATTGAAAAAGTACTGTATTATTCATAGCTTCTGCCCAGCTGCACAACAGTCATGTAAACAGGAACAGAGCAGCCGCTCCAGACAGCGAACCAACGCCCATCCAGACTCTATTTCCCCCCATTTGGCTCTGCATGCTGGATCTTTCTGTCTGTACTTTTCCGGCAAGTTAACTCAGTACGACGGATGCAAATTACAACTGACACAAAGTGTGATGTGGCCTGGGTTTTAATATTAAAATAATAACACAGAGATGGCACATTTCCCTGCAAAATACTGTAAAGCAAGGCAAATGCAGAAAGGACAGATACCTTTACCTGTAATGGCTACTTTGTTTATGTTTATGTTTGTTTTAGTGGAAACAGATCTTGACTGTAACGTTGCATGGAGACATTTATCAAAGATCAGATTTTTTTTCAGTGGACAAAAAAACAACGCAGCTTACACTGACAAACTGACTGGTTAGGCAACGCTGGCACAGACTCAATTGTTTGAATCTGTCTTGCACTGTGCTATAGCCACAATACACAATCCTCATGAAGCAGTCAGCGCTGCATCTCACAGTGTTTTTAAGCTCAGCAATGTATCGACAGAACAGTAAATAAATAATAAATGGAAAAAAAGATAAATTTTCCATTTTCAGTGGTTGTTACATACTGAAAAACGCTACACATGGGGTCTTTCCCCCTGTGCATCACATGTTTCATTTGCGCCAAGACGGATTAGAAGACAATGCCTAATAGTCCAAGACAAAGACAGGCAGATGAGAGCCAGAGAGAAAGACTCTGTAAACAAAAGCCTGGAAAGGTCAGGAATAAAATCTTGAAAAGGGACAGAGCCTTTAGCTTCCATGTCAATAATGTAATTATTGAAACAAAAGCACAGTTAGGGAGGGGGGGGGGGGGGGGGGCTTATGGGAAATTAGGTTGGAGTTTGCTTTCAGACGTTTTGATAATGTATTGCGACCTCACAGCAAGGTCTTTAGAAAGAGAGAATCCTAAAACAAGTCCAATGTGACACTGGCCAGTTTAATTGTCTGCATCACTGGCAGCTAGCAGAGTTGAAGGGCACATGATACTGTCATTTGTCCACTAAAAGCATTTATTAATTAACTGCTTTATCATTCCACCTAACACAAATAATTAAATTACAGCATGTTGTTGCTCTTGAGGGGCATGACTCTGAAACACTAAATATAACGATGCAATGATGTGGACAAGACAGATCAGTATAGAGGGTTGAACGTGTGTGTGCTTATGCTCTCTCCCCTGTCAGCATCAGACTTATATTATGTACATACAGTACGTCGTTGTGGGGATTTTTCCTTGAATCCCCTTGAGGGGAAAATGGTGAGAAGCATTGAGGCTTTATCTCCACAACCTTGACAAAGTGATTGAAATGCGGTGTCATAGTAGAGAAGATAACATCTAAGACTTAGCTGCATGTAGACTCACGTTGCGACGTGCTCTCGGAAGTCAATTCAGCCCCCTTAACAGGTTTTTCTTCCAAATAAACAACACACAAAGCCACAAATGTCTCTCTTCCTCCTTCTGTGTCTGTCTTTCCACCTCCACCGCAGAGAAACGCGTACAGATACATAAACTGTTTCAAAAATAATTAGCTCGTCAATTTTCATCCATTATGATGACTTGTGTGTTGTAAAATAACTCTTATTAATATCGTGAAAGGAATCACTGCTCCAGCACAGATGTCTCTGAGCTGAGAGAAACATTCATCAGCATCTCTAAACAAAACACTCACCCTATTAGTGGCAATAATTGAAACTCAATTCTGCTTCTCAATCAAATGCTTAAAGCTAATTCCCCCCCTAGTTTCATTATCAGTTGTTTGTGTGTGTGTGGGCGGTAAACGCTGCACCCTAAAATAGTAAAGCACTATTTGCCATAAAGACGTTACACTGAATTAAAGCCGTAGTCTTTGGCAAAATAAGATATGAGCATATTCAAATCAGCATATGCATGCAGGTCTATTTTGTTTGCTGAGGCCCTCACTCAAACTCCTCTCCTTGGGAGGTCATGCAGCGGCTCTCTCTCTGTTTTCACCAGGTCTGACCTTCCATTGAGACAAAAACACTATTGATCTGCCGTCCACAGACTCTATTACAGCCGCTAAGCTGTTTGTTTGTAAATGCCCTCGGAGTAAGTGGCCAAGCTGATGTGTTATCAATTCTAAACTTTTCGTCTCGGCTCAATCTGCTGCCCTTGTCTAATCCCATAATGCATCTGCATGCACTGCCCTACGAAGGCAGTAATGCCCAAAACAGGACAGTTGGGAAAGAAGCGTTTTTAGGCTAGTTCGCCAAAACGGTGCAGATAAGGTGTTCTACCATAATTCTACATCATTGTCACAGACCTTGCATGCGCCCTGAGAAGATCCAGATATTGCACTTTGATTTTGTTGCCCAGTACAGATCCCTATACTCCCTTCTCTCAGTACAGATGGTGCAGAGTTCACAAGTTCACTGTTAAAAACATACAATATCCTTGTGCTAAATCCTGCAGAATTAATTTAGTTTGGGGGGGGGGGGGGCTCCCTGAACTACTAAATGAAATGAAGACCAGTGAAGTGGGTTATTAAGCTATAAAATGAAGCGATCCCAGACTCCCACTATATCTTTCCCTGACAGCTCTTCTGGACGCCACCTTCTAAAGGAGGGAGATTGGCAGAAAAGCCATCCATCCCTAAACACAGCCATCACTTCCCCATAATTACCCAGGAAGAATCAAATTAGCTGCTGACAAGATAATTCACTGACTGCCTTCATCTGCCTCGGACTACTCGCCCCCCTGCGGATAAGTCTGCTAAATACTTAAGCTTTTGATAAGAATTTATAGTCAAAGGCGGGACAATTTACTAAAAAGCTTCTCCGTCGGTAGTGTGTGCACAGTGTGTGTTTATATGTGCTATTAAACATACAGTGGGGGACGGCTGGCTGTTGATGGTGCACTTATAAGAAAGAGAATTGATTAGTGACAAGAAAAGTAGCGATTCCCTCTGCTCTTTGTTTGACTGACACCTCATCATCGGAGGAGTTTCCCACATAAAAAAAGAGAGGGGAAGTCCAACTAGTATGTGCAGATTGCCGTTGTCAGCTTCAAAATGAACAGAGTTGCTTTGCCATACCGTGACAGGTCACACTCCAAAATCACACTGGCTGGTTCTCTTAGGAAGTAACTGTTGTCTCTACAGTTCATAATAATCTGGCTTTATCTCTCCATCAAAGTAAATATCTCTGTCAAGGCAATATTGTGTTGTCCATTACCCATTTAACATCCAATCTGTGGATAAAATCTGATATTTTAGACATAAAGTCGCCACAATTTGTGCATGAAAGCCAGAAAGATGTACAGTTCTCCAGAGAAGATCCAAAATAAAATACTTAGCACTTTTAGTGTGTTTTCATGTATTTCTTCCCACAAATACTGCTGCTTAAACGACAGCTCAAGCAAGGCGGTTCAATGTGTCTGAGTGCTCATCACCTGTAATTGCGTTCATGTTCAATCCTCTTGAAAACACCACTAGTTCAAAGGCTGTCTTAGTATTCTTATCACCTTTTTGGGAGTTTGCAAATAGAGGCTTGAAAGTGATTCATATGCTCTTCTGAAAGGTGTCTTTCAGCCCGTTTGCAGAGCATCAAGCAGCCATTACAGATTGGCCTTGATTTATTGATGGGTTGCCCAGTAAAAAATGGCCTTGCGCTGGCAGTAAGTAAGTAAGAGTCTTTCTTTATGTGTGATAGGCCTTTTCATCTTTTGGTGATGAGTCATAGAGCCGAGTATGCGCATGTCTGCGTACATGTCTACAAATTCATGAGAATGTGTGTTTGCGTGTGTGGGAGGATGCGCCTGCATTATGTTAGACCTCGACAAACAAATGCAATATCAGTCAGCAGCATGTGTGGCATACCACAATTCTGGGGGCGTCTGCATTGCATGCATGTGTTTGAGTGTGTGTGCGTGTGTGTGTGTGCGCTTCTGTACTCACCCCCTGTGAGAAGTAAAACGCTGCGATCCCCAAAGGCCAGAAACAGCAGAGCATGGAGAAGATGGCCAGGCCCAGGTGGTCTCGTGGAGGGACCACTATGAAGTTGTCCTCGCTCTCACTGTCACTGGAGCAGTCCGTCTGCAGAGAACAACTCAGGTCAAAACACACATCCGGTTTGTGTCCTGAACGTGAACAAATGTTCCAATTCATGAGCGATGATGTAGAAGTGAACAAACAGGCGGGTCTAGCTACCTCTGACAAAGGAAGTAGTTTGACGTTTTGGGGAATAGAAGAGACGATCGGTACCTTGATTTCTTACTCATTAATCCCTCACTAATCGCCAGCAGCCGGTTAGCTTAAAGTTTAGCATAAAGACCGGAAACCAAGGGGAAACTACTAGCCTTCCTCTGTTTAAAGGTAATGAAATCTGCCCATCAGATTGTTTAAAGCGCAATAATTAAAGGGACACTTCACCCCAACATCAATAATACATACTTTCCCCCTTACTTGTAGTACTATTTATCAATCTAGATTGTTTTGAGTTGCCTAGTTTTGGAGATATTGCCTTCTCTCCAGTATAATGGGACTCGGCTTGTGGCGCTCAAAGTGACAAAGAAAACTTGTTCTTTTGACCAAAGTTCCTACATGAAACTTCACAACAAAGTCTGTGGATTATCTTGAGTAACTGGGTCATGATTCCTGGACAGAGACATTGATGTTGAGTTTTCAAATGCATTTTCTTTGCTTTGAGTAGTCCCATTATATTTGAGAGAAGGCAGACATTTCTATGGCAGATATGTCCAAAACTATGCAACTCAAACCAAAACAGCCTACTGAAGTATGAATTTTGTTGTATTTTAGACTTTTGGTAAAGTTCTGTTTTTACCCCCGTAAAAATGCAACTTTTTATATTTACACTCCAGTGTTTGTATGGATTAAATGGACAAGATACATTGTGTTGATTACTGAGCTTTAGAAGTGCTGGTAGTCTGATTTTGTTACCATTGGGTAGTGTCAGTCTAGCTGCTTTCTTTTGTTTCCAGTCAGATAACTAGCTACTGGCTGAAGCTTCATAATGTTAGCATACAAACACTGGTCTCAATCTTCTCATCAAGCGCTTTCCAAAATGTCAAACTATTAATTTCGGGCAAACCCTTCATAATTATTTGCAACTTCAGAAAAGACCCCCATCCTAGATACATATAGTTTGGTGGTTTTTATTCTTCCCTCATGTCATATCTTGTAATTAACATTTGCAGCACCGCTTTAGGTCAATCAGAATCAGTTAACAAAAGCTGTAGCATCCTCTGTCAACATGGTCAGTGCATCCATTTTCCTGTGAAGTTAAAAAATGGTTTGATCATTGGTCAAGTTGATGTGAAGACAGACATGTGGACTGAGGCCGATTTCCTTGTACAAGATGAAAGGAAAAGTTTTTCTCTATCTGTGTACAGGTAGCGGTGATGTTTGAGTCGACTGAGAGGAGAAATAATCTGCACTCACTGATAAAGAAAAAAGCAATTTTGTGTGATGGGAAACAAAACATAGACGAGTCACTGCATGCCGGATCATTTCGTTCCCCTTAATGTCACAGCTCATATTCATGGACTTTTTGTGATGGCCCATTAGTTTCTCATTAGTTTTGAGATATGCAGATTCTTACATTTTGGCATCCAAACAACAGATGGCATCAAAAAAAAAAAGAAGCTACGGTTGATACGGTTGAAGGTACACTTCATTTTAAATATGAAATAGTTATGAATCAAACACACCTCCTCCCTAAAGCTTTATGAAACTATTTCACGCTCCATGCAACGTTCCTCACATGAAACTAAAATGCCTTCAGCAAAAGAGAATTGACACTCGTACATCTGCATACTGTTTCGAGGGTTCTCAGTCGTGAACCGCGGCTAAAAAAAGATCAGGGTGTCAGATCTACAAATTTCAAAGTTTGTTTTTCATGACCACATTTGGCCAAATAACCTTTAAGGTACATATAAGGTGTATTTTCCCTCACAACAAAGGCAAGACTAAGAATACAGATTTATTTTCCAGGGTGCCTGTAATGAAAAGAAACCGCAGATTGAGGCCGCGGTTTCTATACAAGCCATTAAGCCGCATCCTTCACACATCATCCTGTTTGAAGGATGATCCAGCATGAGGGTGGAACATGAAAAATAAATGAAAGAAATCAAGGCTAACAATATACTGTTGTATCACAGAAAATGAGTTCAATATGAAGCTGAATATTTCATCATATCCGACGGGGAACATTTGGCAAAACATGGGGACATTATCAAAAGTCCAATCATCACATTTAAGATGGGAATCTTATTTTTGTCAATATTTTCATTAGGTTTACAACTCTCAATCCCTTCATGTGTTTTTGTGGTTTTTGTGTACCTAATGAGTTTGGATTTCAAACACGAAGATGACAGTGTCTGCTCCTCGACCATATAATCAATGTCTTACCAAAGCCAAGCAAACCTGCAGCCTGCCCTGGTGTGTGCTGGCCTCGGAATGCTCACGTCAATGTTGGACCAGTTGTTGTTTTTGTCTAGTCTGTCTAGTTTAGTTTGCTCTAAAATACATTTAGCCTAACGGGCACTAGGCTTGTGTCTCCATTGTACTTCTGCATTTTCAAACTTCTCTGCATTAAATGAATGCTATAAAATCCACTTTTTGGTAACGCATTATAAAAATACAGACAATATAAACATACTTATAATGCGTCATAATCTCCTTATAGAACTGTATGCTGATAGTGAGGAGCACATAGTAATTTATAACGGCTTTAAAACAAAGGCAGCAGGACTTGCTGAATTTTGGGTATTACTTGTATCTTGTTAAATGTAAAGCTGCAAGTTAGGGAAACCACTACGGGGGGGGGGGGGGGGGTTAATAAAAAAATTCACTTTTTGAGCCTGAATAATTTGATTGAACTAGAGCAATGCTTTGAAAAACATGTAATTATGTTGTGTACAGTGTGAGAGTTATTTTTCAGTCAGCAAGAGTGCAGTGTTATGGTGTTTACGTTGTATTAAAAGTTAAATTACTCTGGGTGACAGTGTTGGGAATTAATGTGCTTTGAGGGGTGAAAACATTTTCAATTAGTTTTAATAACATGTGGCCCTTATAGTCATGTTGCCTGATTGATGGTGGGGATTACTGGATGGGTGGTTAAAATGTGTGGGCGCGCTCTCTAATTTAATCCAAAAAATAGGCATCCTAGAGGACAAAACAAGTATAATAAACTCCAAAAATGAATGTGCAAGCGAAAACTTTCTAATCCGTCTCTGCAGCCTCAGACAATGCCCCTCTGTGTTGTCAAGCTGAGAAGCTTATAAATCTGTTGAAAGCTGTGAACACAGACACCTGCCGAGAGGATCGATATATTTTCATTCTCTTCATAATGCAATGCGGAGGCAAAAAAAAGAGGAAAAAAAAGGTCATAACACACGAGCATTATGCAGCCCACATTCTGCATATTGTCATTCTGCATTCACGGCCTTAAGCAAGCGCTGTAGCACAATCTCTCCAGGGCGAGCCCTGCTCTGCTCTGTGCCTCAGAGCCTATACTGACAATATCTGCACAGCCTTCTGGCTGTTTGGAGAATGAAACCATACATCATCTAGGGATACTAGCTGTTTGGTTAGCTTAGGCTATCAGGGAACAGGGAGAGAGAAGCAGAGGAAGTGAGGCAAGCGAGCGAACAATGAGGTCGGCTGGAGTCGGTGCAGACCAGCGGGCAGAGCTGCATGTACATCGCCAGGAAGCTACATGCAGACCTGTCTGGATGGACAGGAAGGTCATGAATCATGAAACCTTCAAATGGTTGCAGGGGAGCCACAGCAGATGAAAACAGGCCACCAATCCCTCTACAAAGCTGTCTCATGGAACATTAAGTATATATGATTACACTCAAGAACCTGTGCAAACCAGTAGTCACAGGTCAGACTGACAGGCTTTGAATTTACAGAGAAGCTGTTTGATTTAAAGTAAACAGAATTTTGTTTACCAATCTCCTGCGCGTTGACAGTTGGCATCCCATTTATCGGAATGTCCTAATGACTATGCATGCCGGTGCTGCTCGCTGCTCAGCTATGTCTTGCGGGGCGTAAACCCTGTCAACATGTGGCAACAGGCTGACAGGTAATGAAGAACTAATGGATGGTTTCACCACTCAGCCATGACAGCATAAGCAAGAGGAGGGCTCGTGTAATTTATTTGTTGTCAAATTGCCTCCACAACATACAGGAAATGTGCCCCTGTCCACCTTTTCTGTTTACCCCCTGCTCTCCATTCTGCCTGGAGATTTGTCTTTGTACCTTTATTCTTTTGTCCTGATGTCAAGTGAATGTGTCGTACCTTACCTCCTGTATGACAGGCAGGTAATCATATGAAGATGGCGTGAGGTTGAGCATGCATTTGAATGTTTCTTGGGATTGAGCCACTCCACTGCGTAAAAAGCGTCACCTGTATTTGATTTTATTTATATTTGCGATGAGCTAACATGTTTACGAATTCAAACTAAGCACGGCAAGAGTGTTCATGATATACTCATGAAATAGATAAATAAATAGCTTCTTTGTGCACAGTGCACATATTGTGACTGCAAATAGACCCAGTGAATCTGGCTGGAGCGCTGCAACAGCACTGTTATACTATTTGCTACCACATATTTAGGCTATTTTAGTAAAAAAAACCCTGTCACTATTATTTTTTGGTTCCATTACAATTAAAAATAATAATAATTGGGTTATATCCAAATTAAACAGTTTTCTTTCTGTGAGTTTCTTTGATATACTTTTGAAAGCAGATTCATGCTGTGGGAGCTGACTCCTTAAATTAGATGCCACGGGCCTCTATTGGGAAAAACATGGATATATAATTTCCCCTTGCCGTCCTATGCAATAACAACATAATCAGTGAGTCGATTACAACTGTACAATTAAAAAAAAACATCTTTTGGATCAGAGCAATGCAGCTAGCTTGTCTGAATGTATAAGAGGAAAATGCACACCACAAACACAAATTACTGAACACACGGAATCAAATTAAAGCACCCACAGAAAATAATATTGTCCTTTCAACCATTTCATGAAGCAAAAACAAGCGTTTGAGATTACATAAATGA